CATCAGATTAAAGAGGACCGACGTGGACAGGGTGGACCGACGTGGACAGGGTGGACCGACGTGGACAGGGTGGACCGACGTGGACAGGGTGGACAGACGTGGACAGGGTGGACAGACGTGGGATGATTTAAAAAGGACAGATCGTTTCGACGCTTCATCCTTCAGGACCAAAACTCTCCTTGTTCAGGTTTGTATGTTTTTGGATTCTATTATTATAAATTTTGTTTTTTGTCATACATGTTTAAAAGGTTTATTCAACAGTAATTATACGAAATGATGTTAATTTTCATATGAAAATAAAAGTTTATTTTTTTTACACAGAATTACAGACATTTTTAACTCAAAGCAAAACTTTTAAGCTTTATTTCCAGAGACATTTATAATTTTTTAACTACATCTTCTAATAAATCTATTTTGTAGCATCTGATTAATAAATGGTTATAATGTAAATTGTTTATATTTCATCTTTTTGTGTATTTATTGAGCTGTTTGCAGCATTTGTTGGATTTTGTTATTTGATGCAACAAATGTATTCAGAAACAAATGATAAAAAGTTCAAGTTAATCCAAAAACAGAAAAAGGTTTCAGGACTTCAGCAGCGAAACATTTAGTTTTATATTTTTTAGTTTATTTGACTCTAATCTGATTCCAGCAGATTTTCTACAAACTGCAGATTTTCATACGGATAATTTTCTTCAGGTTTTTGTTTTCCTGTTTTTTACTGCCAATATTTGTCATAATTTCCATCTGCAGCTCTCAGTCATGATGAACGTTGGACTCTCCCTCCTGATGATCGCAGGTCTGTTATTTTATGCGTCATACTTTCTATTAATGTTAACAGACATTAAACTTTCTGCAGATGAATTAAAAACAGATCAGTTTATGTTATATCAAATAAGCTGGGAAATTATTTTCTGATACAATATCTGGTTCATTCGTTAAGCCATTTATTTATTTATTTCTATGATTATTGTCACTTCTTGTCCTCCTTATGTTTAGATCTGACAGTTTTGGACAAAAAAAGAACAAGAAACAAAGAAACAGCAGAAAAATGGTTCTGTTTAGTTTTCCTGCTGCAAAACTAAAATATGCAGATTATTTCAGGTTCTGTCTCATCTGTTAATCTCCATCAGAACCTGATTTCAGTGTTTGTGGGACCCATACGGGTTCTGATCAGGCTGGTCGGACTCCATCAGCTGCATCGCCTCCTTTCTGTGCCTCTAATTTAACCTGAATTTTATGAAAAGTTTTGGAAAAGTTGAAAAACTTTCCATAGTTTCAGGAACTGCTGATCATTCATGAAACCAGAGTGAAGTCGCCCCACCTTCTTCAAATCAGACAGAATTGGTGTCAAACGTTTGTGCAGCAAAAATGTTCGTTTGTGCTGCTATCATTTAAATGCATCCCCCTCTGATGATGCATGGAGATGAAACATAATGAAACATTTTTCTTTCTCTTTAAAATGATAGCAGCACAAACGGAAATTTTTGCTGCTCAAACCAGCAAAACATAGCCGAGTTGATTGACACCCATTTTGTCTGATTTGAAGAAGGTGGGGAGGGGGGGGGTCTCTAGAAATGTGGACGCTGACATTAGCATTAGCTGCTACATGTTTAGCATTAGCTGCTACATGTTTAGCATTAGCTGCTACATGTTTAGCATTAGCTGCTACATGTTTAGCATAGAGATGCTGTTTAGGCTTAGCAGAAATTAACCGAGGAGAGAAGCAGCATTTACAGTCAGATTCAGTAGAAACAGAAGCTTTAACAAGCTGCTGACCGCCGAGTTAAATTAATCTGAATTAACGTATTAAAGTCCCGGACATGAATCCCTGATCCAAACCGATTCTGGTTCTGTTCAGTCTCTCCTGAAGCTGCTGGTTCCTCCCTCAGGCCTCCTGGACGTCTCTGATCTCCAGTCGGATCAAACCATCCGGCAGTTCCGCCACGTCAGCCTGGCGAAGAACTGGAGCGACGCCCAGACCTACTGCCGGGAGAAGTTCTCCGACCTGGCCGCCATCCTGAACGCCGCCAACGGCACCGAGGCCCGGCAGGCGGCGGGGACCTCCCGGGTCTGGATCGGACTCTTTAACGGCACCTGGAAGTGGTCCCAGGATGAGAACCAGCTTTCCCCCGGCAGCAGCAGCTCCATGTTCACCGTGTGGAGCTTCAACGAGCCGCAGGACCGGAAGTGCACGTTGCTCAGTAAAACCGGGTTTTGGTTCGCCAAGGACTGTGGAGACCTGAACGAGTTTTTATGCTATGATGGTGAGTCCTGATGAAGATTTGTTCTCATCTGTGTGTAGCGACGGGTTCCTGTAAAATCAGCAGTTTGTCGTTCTGAGAAAGTCTGGATGATCATTTTAAGTCTCATCGTTCACTGAAATCTCCTCTCTGAGAAGATGAAGAGTCTGCTTGGATGTTGACATGTGAACGTTTGTCAGGAGATTCGCCACTAGTTGAACATTTTGCCCTTAATATGCTTTAATTCTTCTATTTACCTAAAAGTTGATTATGACACATAAAAGTTCATTAATACTTCAAAATTGAATACCTTTATCTCATTTTCCACCTAGAGAAGTCGCCATTTTTTCACTTCTGCAATGCATGCTGGGCTGATGACGCAGGGAGGTTATAGTGGACTGGAAACTAAAAACAAAACGGAAATAAATGAAATAAAAACAAACAAGTTGTAAAGGTAGTTCTGGTGGACGAGGTCAGTCCACAAAGTGAGTTTGTGGGCTGACCTCGTCCAGTTTGTGGACGAGGTCAGTCGTTAAACACAAGAAAACGGCTTGTGATTTACTGTTTACAAGAGGAAACAGCTAAAACCATTAGCATGCATTTAGCTCCATATTAGAGCTAAAACCATTAGCATGCATTTAGCTCCATAT